ACTTACAATAGTTACATGATGAAAATATAGGGTTAGAACTGAAGAAAAAGTAGGAGAAAAATGATTGAAGGTGCAAAAAGTCACCTCTTAAAGAGGGTGAGTCCATTCGTTTTACATACTTTCTTTTGGTTCCTTCAAGTTCTTTTAGATACATTGTATAATGTCCAAGCACTTTAGCCAAGAGCTCATGATCAAGCTTTAATGAAGTTTTAATGTTGGAAAGTAAAGGCGGTAGGTATGAAATGAAGGAGAGAGAGAGAGGACCAAAGGCTTGTATAAGCTTTGGGAAAAATTTTACAACCCTTAGAAAGAGGCTACTGAGATCTATTTGTAGAGCCCATGGTGTAAATATCTAACATATTTACGTAAAGTGTGTTGAACAAGTTGAAATTCTTGAAAATGCTCTCTACCCAGAAAATTTAGCCGGCCATTCCATTTGATGATCAGCCGAATGCATTTTTGATCGGCCGTCAAATGTTGTCCAGCCAGTCAGAAAGTACATCATTAGATGAACAAGGTAAGACATGCCTGAACTGAGAGGAGAAATAGGCATTTAAAAGGATTTTACCCTTTCCATTCACTTCCACTGCATCTGTTGCTCTGTTTGTTTTGAAAGAATACAACATTTTGATTTTGAAAAGATGAACCTCAGGAAATACTGACAATATTTGAAACTGTACAACTAAATCCATTTTGAAAAAGGTTTTTCCACTGGTCGAAAAGTACTTTGGCCAAAACGAGTGTTTGGTTGGTTTAAAAACTCTAACCTTAGACTTCCGGCCGACGACTTCTCAGGACTAGCATATCTCGTTTTCATCATTAGGTACCCAAAAGAGAGTGCCCAAGTCTTAAAATTGGTCAAAAATGGGGTGTCTACAGTAATATTAAGCAAAGGATGAAGAGGAAAGTGAACTCCGCCCTCAGCGATGGCCAGCAATGGTAGAGCAATGGTGCTCGCATTAGCCATCTCTAGGTTAACTACCCTATCCCCGATGAGTCTCAACTCAACGCCATTTGAGATCTCGAAGTGACGATGGAAGGAAACCACCATCAACTCCGACAGTAACTCTTTTAGATGATTCGCCATGAACACTGAAAGAAAAAAAAAATGCAAATGTAAAATGCTAGATGGAAAAAGAGAAGGATGCTTAAAAGACTTACAGAGGGTTTGTGGAATGCTCGGAGAAAGGATTACGAAGCAACATCAATAAAGAAAACGGAGTTAAAGATTTTTAGAAAACGGAGGGCTATTAGGAGATGAAAGGGTGCTAAAGCAAATTTTCAAAAATAATAAATAAGGCGTATGAGGGAAGTCTAAAGAGGCAGGGAGAGATATATATCTTCTGTGGGATCCCATCAGCCGTGTCAGAGATATATAGCGAAATACCTACTACGTGCCCAAATTACGAGGCACAATGAGAGAGACTCACGCATCAAGGAAATCAGTTGAAGTATCGGTCCATCGTGAGCCAAGCATGCAGGCCATTCGGAAACAGAAGATAACCAAGAGCTCGGGTGGCAATTGTGTGAGCCGAGTATAAATATTGCACATTCAGTAAACAGAGCACATCCAGGCCCATCACGGGCCCAAATCCAACCAGGCTCGCTAGATTGCAAAAGTTCAACGTCGAGCAGCCTCTTTGCCGATCAGGTGATTTGCCAAGTAGGTGATACCAACAAAATTGGCAGACATTCATCCATTTTCGGAGGTGTAATAGAAACTTGGGCCTTGACATTGTGATCATCATGACAAGCAAGTCAAATTACGTAGAAAATATCTACACCAAATCTCTATAAAAGGAAAATCAATGAAAGGAGAAGGTATGCACATTCATCCAAACTCACTTCATTCTCTAAATATCTAACATATCTTCTTTCATTCAAAATCTAACTTAACCGTCGAGTACTAATTATGGCACTTCTGACCAAAGTGTTTCTTATTTCAGGCACTGAAGCGAGAATCAAACAAATGTTTGCTTGGAACGAAAGAATATTATAAAATCACCCCTCACAAGCTCCATAAATCCAAACAGTGCTCTTCAATTCACATTATGGACGAGAGGAAATCCTCTTCCATATCATATTAATCACATAAATCACGCATCATAGCTCTCCAAAAAATATAATGAAAAAACACCCATCTATAAGTAGGAGAATCAAACATTAAACTTTAAATGAAATGATGGTTTCTTAGCCAATAAACTAGTCTCTGTTTATTAATTCTTTTGATCAATTGAAACACATACATCTGTACCTATGCCCTCATTTTTGTCTATATTGATAATTACAACTTTTCGACTGCTTAATTATGCGCTGAGATGACAATAATCACCCACTCAGTAAACTACTGTATTTTTCGAAAACTGAAAACAAAAAACAAAAAATAAAATACATAACTTAGCAAGTCAAGAGAACAAAGATTGGCTTGCAAATCACTAAATTCTCAGCAAGGCTGTCTAATTTTTTTCATGGGTAAATTATGTAAATAATTCCTATAATTTAAATAATGTGTCAATTTGATTTTTGTTGTTTCAATTTGCTTAATTTTTTTTCTTAATTTAACTGATTGTGTTATATTAACCCAATAAATAACGGCTATTAGATTTGGTGGACGGAATGTCAAATGATGTGTCAATTTAATTCCTATAATTTATACGATGTGTCAATTCGGTTTTTATCAAAATCAAGCAAATTAAAATAACAAAAACCAAATTGATACATCGTACAAACTATAGAAACCAAATTGACACATTGTTTGAGCTTTCGTCCATCAAACCTAACAAACGTTATTTATTAGACTAATATGACACAATCGATTAAATTAAGGGGGTAAAATCGAACAAATTAAAACAATAAAGACCAAATTGATGTAGTGTAAACAAAAGCCCCAAGTGCAGAGTCGATGGAACCCCAGGGTTGGAATCCAGTAATACGAAGAAGAAGAGGAGGACATCCAAGTGCAGAGTCGAGGGAGGGAGCTTTGATTACAATTTTTATAGATAATATCCCAGAATCGATGGATCCCCAGGGTTTGTTCCAGCTCTTCCGTAAGTTTGGTCTAGTCAAAGATGTGTTCATCCCTGGGAAGAGGAGGAAGGCTTCAAACTCCAGATTTGGGTTTGTTAGATACAACTGTGAGGTAGCGGCACGGGTGGCGATACAGAAGGCAGATGGTTTATGGTGTGGGAATAAGGCTTTGAGGGTGAAGCGCGCTGAGTATCAGAAGCCCCAGTCTGTGGGCCGACAGAAAAGCAGGGAGCCGAGGAGAGGTGATGTAGGTAGTGTAGAGAACTGGTGGGCGCAAAAGAAGCTGTGGAAAGGAAAGGGAGCCCAAAAATCTTATGCAGAAGCACTACTGAGTGGCGTAGGCAGGGATACGGATAGGGTTGTGATAAAGGCTTCTCAGGAAGGGAATGGGTGGAGTAGTGAAAGTCTAGTTGTTCAACTGTGCAGCTTCTTAGCCTTCGAGGCATTCACAGAGGAAATGAGAAGCAAAGGAATGACAGATGTAGTTGCAAGAGAAGGGGGTGGCAAGTTAGTCCTCTTAACTTTCCCCACTGAACATCAAAAGCTGGAAGGTAAGAGAGAGCTGCAGGGTTGGGGCAGAAGTGGTGCGAATCAATCAATGAGTGGAGCAAAGGTCAGTTTTTATAGCAAGAGAGGTGTATCTGGCTGTATTGTTTTGGCATTCCCTTAAACTTATGGAGTATCGCGACAGTTCGCAGCATAGGCGGCAACTGGGGAAAGGTTGTTCAATATGAAGAGGACTTTAATGATCCTAGATCTTTCGAACAGACTAGAGTTAGGGTGATCACTAGTTGTATGGAGTGGATTAATACAACAATCTATCTGTTGCACAATGGGAGTCATATCCCGGTGAGAGTTTGTGAAGAGTTTCCCAATTGTTTATTTCCAAGTTCTCCAGAGAGCATAGGTAAAGTTCAAGGTAGCTTGCAATTCAATGGTAGTGGAGAGGAAGACCAGTCGTCCGGCAATGGCGGAACATCCAAGAGAGTCAAGGGAGCGTCTGTGGGAAGGCAAGAGTTAGAGAGTGTAGGTCTGGAGGTAGCCTCTCGGGTAATGGAAACAGTGATGGGCAGTTCAGAGGTGCAGGCTAGGGTTAATGATGAGAAGCTTGCTAATGTAGCAGGGTGCAGCATGGGGAATGACAAGGAAGACGCATGTACCAAGGCGAATGGGGTGGGGCTAGAAGTCAACTCCCACCAGGTAATCATGAGTGGAGTTCAAAATCGTGATGTGGATCTGTGTAGCCCGGGTCTTTTGAGGGAGCTGAGTGGGCCAGCAGAGGCAAGGCCCAGTATAAATCTGGAGGTATTAATTAAAGGTGTGCAGCAGGGACATGAGCCCAGTGGACTAATTCAGGACCTAGGGTCGGAGTTAAGTGGTGTTTTGGCTCAACCTTCGGGTAGAACAGCTGAAGCCCAAACAAAACAAAACCTAAAACAGATTGTTAAGGCCCAACGGTCTGCAGTTGGGAGCTTTGTAAGGGAAGGAGCAACGCAGGGAAGGGGTAAGCAGTGGAAAAAAGGCATGGATCACAGGAAATGGGTGTTTGGTAGATTGGGTTTTCAGAATGGAGCTATCTTCAGAGCTTCTGCCGAAGTTGCAGCTTCCCAAAAGTCTTCTTCTTCTCAGAGTCAAGCACCGAAAAGAAGGAGGCAATTGCTTGATGAGGCTATGGCCACTGTGAGAGTGGGCACAGAGCTAGGAATGGACTTCCGTGGCAAAGAGGAAGAGGTAGTTAGTAGAATTGAGGAGCTGGAAGAGAAGGATTTGAGCAGAATTGAAGGAGGAGAAATGGCAACGGGAGTTTAGTTGGTGTTCAGGGGGGGATTGGGTGTTATTTGTGTGTTTGAATGAAGTTAGTTTCTTGGAATATTCGAGGGCTAGGTAGGCCAAAAAAGAGGGGTAAAATTAAGAGAATGGTGAGGGAGAGAGAGGTAAATGTGCTCTTTCTTCAGGAGACAAAAAGGAGTAACATGGATGATCATTTTGTGAAGTCAATATGGCCGTTTGAAGAGGTGGAGTTTATGGTGGTGGATTCAGTAGGTAGCGCTGGAGGTCTTTTGTGTATATGGAGGCCGCAAATCTTTGAACTCAAGAGCTGCTGCAGTGGCAGAAACTTCATCATATTATCAGGTATCTCAAGTACCTTCTTTCTGTGTACTCTTGTGAATATATATGCTCCTAATGAGGTTCGTGGGAGAAGGCAGCTATGGGAATCTTTAGTGAGTATCCATCATCATTTCCCAAACCCATGGTGTGTGGGAGGAGATTTCAATGAGATTAGATACATGGGAGAGAGGAAGGGTTGTTCTTCTAGAGATAGGGGGATGAAGGATTTCAATGAATTTGTGGAAAACATGGAATTAACTGATTTGCCTTTGCTAGGCAGGCAGTATACGTGGTGCAATGCCCTAGATGGGTATAGATGGAGTAGGATAGATAGATTTTTGCTGGATGTGAAGTGGTTGGAAAAATTTTCATTCAAGCAATGGGGCCTTCCAAGGTCAATCTCAGACCATTGCCCCATTTAATTGATAATATTGGTTAAGAAATAAGACGTAAATAAAAGGCAAAATGATCCATTCAAAAGAAAACAAATCATTTAAATTAAACATCAAACCGTAAATCATTTTTAAGAGAGTGAATTGATTATTTTGGTTATTGAGTTCAATTCAATTTTTAAAATAAATTGATACAATTTAAAAAATTTAAGAATAAAATTGATGTAATTAGAACTATAATAACCAAATTGATACATAGGAATGTAATTTGTCCAAAGAGTAGAGAGGCAGTTCCAAACGATCTAGACTTCTCAATTTCAAGGATAGTGCATCATTTTTGTATATTGGAATAACAAATATGAAAAATATTGGCTATTTGGTATCATTTTTTCATTTATAAATTATTTTTAATGATTATGACCTTTTAGATTATTAGTTTAAAAGAATTAAAATAAATTGTAAATCTATTTGGTATAACTTAAGGGTATGGAACTTACTTAAAATAAAGTTGAACTTACTTAGGAATCACTTAAGGGTATGGAACAAGGATGTGTTTGGAAATATTGATATTCAGCTTAAGAAGGCAGAGGAGGAGCTCCATGAGTGGGATTTGAAGGCGGAGTCTAGCCCCCTCCAGGAAGCGGATTCGAAGAGAAAAAGAGAAGTTATGAGCCAGGTGTGGCAGCTTAGCAGAAGAAAGGAAAGATTATGGCACCAGAAATCTAGGCAGATGTGGGCTCTTTCTAGAGATAAAAATACTAGGTTCTTTCACATTATGGCTAGCAGAAGGCAGAGGAAGAATCTGATTGATTCTGTTGTAGTAGAGGGTAGGCGCGTCGAGAATCCGGAGCAAGTGAAGCTTGAAGTAGTAAGGTACTTCAGTCAGTTGTTCTCGGAGAATTGGAAAGTAAGGCCAATAATTAAGGGCCCTTTTGCTGTTATAAACCCAGCGGATGCTGTTACTTTGGAAGCTGAATTGGAAAGTAAGGCCAATAATTAAGGGCCCTTTTGCTGTTATAAACCCAGCGGATGCTGTTACTTTGGTAGATGGTTTCTCTGAAGAGGAGGTTTGGGAAGCAGTGCAGGACTGTGATGGGAACAAAGCACCAGGCCCAGATGGTTTCAACCTTAATTGTATCCAGAGGTGTTGGCCTATATTGAAATGAGAGATCTTAAGTATGGTGAATGAGTTTCATCAAAATGGTAAGCTATCTAGAGGGGTTAATAGCTCTTTCATAGTTCTTATACCCAAGAAGGACAACCCCATAGGCTTGGGGGATTATAGACCTATCAGCTTGGTGAACTCTGTCTATAAAATTTTAGCGAAACTGCTCTCAAGGTGGCTTAGGAGAGTGTTACCTTCTGTGATCAATGAAGTTCAGTCTGCTTTTGTGAGTGGTAGGCAAATTCTGGATGGTGTGCTCATAGCAAATGAAGTTGTAGATGCATGGAAGAAATCTAGAAAGAGAGGTATTATTCTGAAATTGGATTTCGAAAAAGCTTATGACTCTCTAAACTGGGAATTTCTGTGGTCGATGATGAAAAACTTGGGTTTTGGTGAGAAGTGGTTAGTTTGGATGAGAAATTGCATCTCATCAGCCAGGGTTTCCGTGTTGGTTAACGGCTCACCTACAGAGGAATTCCAGCCATAGAAGGGGCTAAGGCAGGGTGACCCCCTCTCTCATTTTCTGTTCATAATCGCAGCGGAAGCTCTTCACCTGTTATTAACAAGGGCAGTGGAGAAGGGTTTGTTCAGAGGAGCCTCGGTTGGTAGTAATGAAGTGCGCATATCTCATCTCCAGTTCGCAGATGACACCATAGTGTTTTGTGAAGGAGGTCAGGATGAGGTGATTAATATCAAAAGGGTGTTGAGGTGTTTTGAAGTGATGTCCGGTTTAAAGATTAATTATCACAAGAGTGCAGTGTGTGGAGTGGGTTTCCAAGAGGATGAAACCTTGTTCAGAGGAGCCTCGGTTGGTAGTAATGAACTGCGCATATCTCATCTCCAGTTCGCAGATGACACCATAGTGTTTTGCAAAGGAGGTCAGGAGGAGGTGATTAATATCAAAAGGGTATTGAGGTGTTTTGAAGTGATGTCGGGTTTAAAAATAAATTACCACAAGAGCGCTGTTTGTGGGGTGGGTTTCCAAGATGATGAAATTGAGGGTTTAGCCCATAGATTGAATTGTCTATCAAAGAGATTACCTTTTAACTTCTTAGGGTTGCCTCTTGGGGCCAACCCGAGGAGAAAGAGCACTTAGAACCCAATTCTGGACAAGGTGAGTAAGAGACTGTCTTCATGGAAGAGGAAACTCCTATCTTTCGCTGGGCGTTTGACATTAATAAAATCAGTCCTTTCTAACCTGCCTTTGTACTTTCTATCTATGTTCAAGATGCCTATAGGGGTTAATAAGGCTCTAGTGAAAATCCAAACCAAGTTCTTGTGGGGTGGATCTAAAGATGGGAGGAGTGTTCACTTGGTTAATTGGGGGGAGGTTACTAAGAATAAAAATCAAGGGGGTTTGGGCGTGAGAGATTTGGGTGAGGTAAATGATTGTATGTTGCTAAAATGGTGGTGGAGATTCGGTGCAGAGGATAAAGCTTTGTGGAAATCAGTTGTTTGCTTAAGGTATGGTCGTGTCGGTGGGGGTTGGTTACCATCTTTGCACAATATAGATGGGGCGTCTACCATATGGAAGGATATAGTGCATGTTTTCTCACTTAATCAGTCTTTGGGTGGGTTTTATAATCAGAATTTTAGGCTAGCAGTGGGCAATGGGAGGAGGATCCAGTTTTGGTTAGACACTTGGTTGAATGAGAGAGGTTTGAAAGAGGAGTTCCCCAGATTATATAGCCTATCCACTGAGAAGGAGGAATCCTTGCAGCAAATTGGTGTCAAGAAGAGCCTTGGGGTGTGGCAGCTTCAATTTAGAAGAAGGCTACTGGCATGGGAGGAGGAGGAGCTGCAGAGATTGTATGCAGCATTGGAATCATCCCCTGTGCTCAGAGAGGAAGTGGAAGACTCTTGTTCTTGGCTCATATCAAAGTTTGGGAAGTTCTCTGTTTCATCTCTGTGGAATTGGTGGGTGGTAAATAGAGGCCCTGTTCTGGAGGTGCCAGCTGGGGTCTGGGCAAGTTTGGCTCCTCCAAAGATGTGGTTCATCTGCTGGCTTGCTTGGAGAGGTCGTATTAAAACATCTTCCTTCCTCCGAAGGATAGGGGTTCTTCCTCCCAATGCTCAGATCCAGTGTGTATTCTGTCAGTCTGGTGAGGAGTCAATGGAGCATGTGTTACTGTTTTGTCCTCAGGTTTGGAAGTGCTGGGCAGCCATGGCTAGCTGGTGGGATCAGAATCTGGTCATCCCTGGTACAGTTGAGGGCCTCCTCTATTGGTGGTCAGGGGGTATAGCAAAGTCTTGGTCAGATAGTGCATGGCAGGCAGTCCCAGCATTAGTGTTGTGGTCAGTTTGGAAGACAAGAAACGAGTGTTTATTTAAGGGAGAAACTCCAGATTTTGCAGGATTATGTGACTGGATGAAACTACAGATTGCTCTGTGGGTGAAATGGTCTTTCAAGGTTGATTACTCTGTACATGACATAGTCTCCAACCTACACCAGATCAGGCTGCTTGTGTGAAGTCTTGAGTTTGCTGCAATTATGGCAGAGGCTGTAGCTTCAGTGATCAGATTGCTGCAATTATGGCATGCTGGGGTCTACTCTCGAGTGTCATGCATATCTTTGGATTGATATTCTGGTAAGGACTTCCCATATGGAGCACCATATCATTTATCTTTATTGTTAGGCAATCACAAGCTACTACTGGAGTCACAAATCAAGGCACAAAATTCTGTAAGTCAAGAATCCTCTAATCCATCTGAGGGTTGTGCTGTGTGGAGTATCTAGGATTAGCAATTTTGGAAGTGTGCTGTGTTGATCTAATTGTGTTTGAATTTTGGTCTGCTATGGATGAATTATGGTCTGCCAAGGCTGTAGGCAATTGGTTCATGGGCTGTTTTGATTGGGAGGCTCATCAGTTTCAATGTTCTGGTTTTCGGCCTACTTTATGGTGGCTACAATCAGTTTGCCTTCTTAGACCCCAGGTTGAATCTTGCTGGAATTTTGTAGTATAATTCTGTTTCTGGGTTGGACTGTGTAGAGGAGGAAGTTTCACAATTGGTCTGCTGTTGGTAGCTGGGGTGCATGCTGGATCTGCTGCTGCTATTTACTCCAAGGAGAAGCTCTTGTTTTAGAGTTGAGTGGGTCAAAGCATTGAGTTCATATTTGAAGCATCTTAACAGCTGTTCAAGGCAAGGTGTTTGGTATGCTTTGTTTGAGCTGTGAGAATTCTTGGCATATAGCTCAGACAATCTGTGCCTTTTTTGGTGTTGAGCTGTGAGAATTCATGGCATATAGCTCAGAAAATCTGTGCCTTTTTTGGTGTTTGTATTGACTAAGTTGTCTGTTTTTTCTGGTTTTTCTCTCCGTTGTGTTTTGCTCGTTGGTTTCTCACCAACTTGGAGGTTGGAGCTTGTTTTAGCTCCAAGCTTCACTTTATTGATGTAATTTTCCTTTTCCATCAATAAAGTTTTCTTTTGCCGATCAAAAAAAAAGTACAACTCAATTAAAGAAGTTACTTTCTCAGTCCAAGCAAGAAAGATTTATCTCTTGAAATTACTTAAGTAATTCTGTGGTTCCTATAGCGCAACATCACACATGTAATGATGAACTTTGTTGAAATAAATACATAACAACAAAAAAGAAGATTTTAACTTGAAATTATCCACTTGCAAACACTAGAAAGCAGCCAATTAATCCTAGCAAATTAGTGATAACATTCTTGAGCTTATGATGTTCTTAAATAGACTGATTGAGACTACTTGATGATGCATAAACCACACTGATTCAATTCACAATGACAATGTTGGACTAACATCTGATTGCAAATTCCTGTCCATCTACACTTGATAACCCTACTCCCACCAACACAAACCCAGAAGAGAAAAGGGATGATGAAGTCATAAAATGAATCACTTTTTAGGCAATAAATCATGATATGTGGAATGTACCGGTTCAATCTGAGACTGTGGAACTATTTTTTTATTTATTTTTGGATGGTGAGCCTAAGGATCTATTATAGACCCTATTTTAATGATTCAATCAGTTAATCTTTTTAGTCTCAGTGAGTAATTATTCTCAAAAAAAAAAAAAAAAGTATCATATTGATATTGTTACTGCATGAAGAATCTATCCTTTTTTTTTTAAAGACTAATGTAATTAAATAATGTTATTACAAGTATAAAATCAATTTGATTTTTAATTTTTAATTTTTAATTTTTACGAATAATTTAAACATGAACTTAAAAATTAACAAATCAAATCATCCAATTAAAATTCAGGGTGGGCCTAGAGACCCGGACTAGACTGTCTAGTATTCTAATGAAATTACAAACTGCAACATTCTAATATTTGTTATTTTTTAAATAATTTTTATTTTATTTTATTTTTTTGGTAATAAACAAGTGAAATGGTGTTAATGTTACAGACTTGCACAGACCAAAACCTCAATTAATAAGATTTTCAAACCATGTATGGGAAGAATCACAAAGTGCACAACCACTCTGCTTGTCTCCTGCCAGTCAACCTTTAAAATTTAATGAACTTGTTGAAGGTCCTTTAGCCTGTGTTTAGCAAGAACTTTTCCAGACTTTTTTGGTTATTTTAGCCACAAAAAACAAAATAGGCTATTTTAGTCATAACAAACAAAACATCACATCCAACCTATAATCATTACATTCTTCTCTCACAAAAAAAGTCAAAAAAGCCAAAAAGCCCTTCCCAAACCAAGCTTTTTAGCCCAGGCTAAAATAGCCAAAAAAGCCAAAAAGCCAAAAAGCCAACCCACTTCCCAAACGGAGGCTTAATGGCGCCACACAGACTAACATGACATTTACACATGGGATTTTACAGTTCAGTCAAAGCATATTCCCCACACGTGCAAAGACTCTGAAACTCACCCGAAGTTAATGACTCCCCCGGAAAAATCAAATCATTTTAGCCAGCTCTGTTACACCATAGACACTCCACACAGAGACTTCTAGAATGAACCACATTCTGTGGGCTGGTTTTTTATGAGTTACTAATCATATATAAATATATAAACTTTTTAA